GCAACTATTCCGTAATCAGCACCCGTCAGCTAAATGAGAAGAAAAAGCAATGAAGGCGGTTCAGTGCTATTGGTTCTACCTCAAGCAAGGTTTGCCGCTACTTCGGGCTTCCACTGACCAAAAATTCCGTCAGCCTTAATGGGCTGCAGAGAGTTCCGTGCACCGCTTCGATTGGTTGCTACCTCAGCGCATGTTATGGTCGCATCATGTTGTAAATGTCGACGATCTCGGTAGTGGCCAGCGCGCCCCCAGTTGCTTTGCCAGAGTAAAACTGTAAAAAGGGCTGATTTGCGGTCGCTTGGTCCGTAGGTATTGCCAGTACTGATAGCGGCACTTTGGGCGCATGCGGAGAAAACCAAGCATTATTTACCTCGTACTAAAATAAGCGTTTTGATTGGGACCAAGGGTACTGGAAATTTCTTGGCCGAGGACTACATGGCCCTAGCGTCAAGAAGCGCGTAGTACTTTGTATGAAGTAAGCTAAGCTAACTGGACTGTAGCTGCACACCTGTTGCTGGTTATATTGCTGTAGCAATATACTTGTTGTACAGCCCGGACACACATTGAGGAAGACGGCAGCTGTGACGAGTTGACAAGGCAACGACCAAGCACCACCTAATCCTTCAAGGACCAACCGAATGGATGAAGTCGCACAGACTCATGCCTGTTCGAAACCAGCTTCTACAGCCTTGGCGGCAATGAAATGCCAATCGCGGACTGAGGCGATAACCATGGATGTCCTTCCTGCAGGGCATCATGCAGCAGCTCTCTTACGGGAGATTGGTGACGGGCCGCCATCCAGATGTCCGAATGTCCGACGGTTATGCCGCCCGGTGTCTTTGATTGATGATTGTCAATTGCGTCTGACTCGCTAGTGCTTGGGATCACCCCGAGAGCTCTGTCAGTCCAATCAAATAGTAATATATTCACGACTGATCTTTTAGGTATAAGAATACGAAGCCCAGTTTCCAAGACCTAGTATCTGAAGAGTAAGGAGCCTCAGGGTTTGATTTGAAGCATGATGCAATATGAATCGCCCTGGTGATAACGGCTGATAAAAAAAACGTGGAACGAAGTGGCCATTTCTGTTGTGGGACAGTGGGATACGGACCTCAGTACGGAGTACATACCAGTCAAATCAAATTAATCAAACACCCAGGAAGTGCGGGGTATAATCACGGGACTCTGCCCTTGCCCTTACCCTGGGCCCTACCTTCTCATTCCAGCTTGACCCTTGACTGGCTTGGGCGCCATCATTCGTCTTGGACCTCTTGGCAAAGGCGCTGAATATCAACTTCAAGGCTCGTAACTAAGTCAAGAACTAAGTCAAGACGCGGGAGTCGAAAGTCATCGGGCACTTTTTCCCAACATTTCCACGCTATTATAATACAATATCTGCGCTTCCATTCTTTTTTCCCAGATTTATCCAGGAAGTTTACAGTGAGCCTTCGTCGCATCCAATGATCCACGATGGCTATGAACAAGGTTCCTGGTCATAACATTTACGTCGGGGGGTGGGTACTACAAAGTTACCTGCTGGGATAGGGAGAGAAAGACTGACAACACGTATCTGCAGCATATTCTCGCTGAAGAACAAGGCTGCCTTGGCCCGAGCTAATGTCACCCATGTCCTTTCAGTGATACGATTACAACCAACAGACGATACATTCTCGGGCTACCAGCATCACCATATTGAGGTTGATGATCTTGAAGATGAAAATTTACTCGAACATTTCACATCTGCTATCAAGTTCATCCAGTCTGGCTTGGACGCGGGTGGCAGCGTGCTAGTACATTGGTTAGTACCTCCTTGTTTGGGATAGGATCTCATCGAACTGCATATACTTCCCGCGTCATTGTCTCATCGCGCCGTTTCATGGTCATTAATGGCATCTAGTGCAATGGGAAAGTCCCGCTCCGCAACTGTCTGCATTGCGTATCTTCTTCGCCGCCAACGGAGTGTATTGACACCGCAATCTGCTCTTGCTCTTCTCAGGGAATCTCGGCCCTTATGTGAACCCAACCCAGGGTTCATGGAGCAGCTCAATGTTTACCACCAAATGGGATGTCCTGATGATGTTACTTCGCATCCCCTCTATAGCCGTTGGCTTTACCATCGAGACGTTGAAGAGAGTGTAGCTTGTGGGCGTGCTCCCGAGATGGAGTCTGTCTTATTTGAGGATGAACAACCGCAGCAACGCGCAGATCTCACAACTCCAGCAACGGAGATAAAGTGCCGCAAATGCAGGTCCGTCTTTCCACCCCAAAATGCAGCCACTGTACTCACCATAAATAGGCGAAAGTTGGCGATCGCACCATTCGTTGTCCCACATGGAGTCCATGGCGATGCCAAAGCCGCAATAACTTCCGAGTGTGCTCACATATTCATGAGTCCTCTGACATGGATGCGGCCGAGTCTGTTCCCCCAAACCCCAGGAGAAGCACCTTTGTCGGGCCGTCTAACATGTCCCAATACCTCATGCGGTTCCAACATCGGGAAGTTTGCGTGGCAGGGAATGCAATGTAGCTGCGGCGACTGGGTTGTTCCCGCAATCGGCCTTGCTAGGGCCAGGGTGGACATCTCTGAGCCAGTCACCATTCGACGCGGCCCAGGCTTACCTTCTGGTATTCGCTTACCACCAAACATGAGGCCAAATATAGGTGGCTTTGGTGCCAACCTTGAGAATGAAAGGTAGGCCTCTCAACAACTAGGTACCATTGCATAATTAGTCACGAGGAGAAAGTAACACGAGTTTTGTGACCAGGGATCCCGCGAAACACAGTCTCTAAAATCATATAACCTACAAACGAGTTCATCGCTGTCTAAGCGCGGCCCTCCACGGAATGATCTCCCGCGGGGCTTACAAAACGCTTTACCCGCGGAAAATGGAGACTTCGCTTCTCGCATGGCTACAGTGGTCCAGCCTAGCAGCAAGGGTTCGATATGCAAGTGAATGCGATTATACGGCACGTGCCTTCACGATCGTCGATATTATTTCATGGACTGGACAGCGCCACTTAGTATGTTCTCTAAGAAGAGACCGATCGGCTGGGACGCCATGGCGTACGGACTGACCAAGCTATGTATGGAATCATGGACCCTTGCGTGCGCGAAGCGGCACGTACGAAATGTCGCCCAAGACGAAGCCTGCACATTAAACTCTATTCTTGGATTGATTGGCGTCGATTTGCTGGCCTTTCGGAAGTAGCAGATTGCCAGATCCAATCACCAGATCAACCGGCTGATTCTTCGAATCCCAATGGTGTCAAAGGTCTGGACGTATGCGAGCCGCCCAACAATAGCATAGTCATGCAGGCAGCCGCCGAGATAGATATATTCATCTGTTACATGTCAAGGTCTTTGGGGAGAAAAGACGGCGTCGGACTCCCGCGCTGGGTCGTCAATGTCATACTCAAGGTCAAAAACCTGAAACCAGGGCAGTACCCCACAACCGTTCCACGAGGCTGGCGCCCCGCATGACTAAGCCGTGCTGGCCAATGCAGTGACTGCGCTTGTCAGGAACAGCGAGGCATTTCGGGGATCTGCAACATGGGCGGTTCGGAGGAGGAAGAACAATTGAGCGGTGCCCCCCACCTCGCAGGGGCCCGGCTGGGCTGGATCACTAGCGCCGGGAAGGGGGCTGTGCAAACTGCTCTTACGCAACGCCCTTCAGCGGCAGCCACTCAACGCCCAGGGCTGACATTCTCCCTGCTGCTGGATTTCGGCTCCTCACGTATTTTTCATTACACATTACATGTCCTCGTCTCGTGGCAATCTGGCCTGCAGCTGACGGCCGATTAGTACTATCGACTATTGCGGCCGGATCTCAAAGCCGCCACTCTAAGAATATCGAGGTGCATCAATGATGAATGATGATGATGCCCATCTCTGCGACCTGTCTCGAACCTGTGCAGGGACTGGACGCAAGCAACGCAAGCATAATAAAGTCGTTCTTGGCAAATTGATGTCCTTGATCTTACCTATACAGTTGCATATACGAAGTACGAAGTATGTCTCGAACTGTTGAACAACATACGAAAGTTATGGTTCTAATTGGCGACCTTCCAAAGTTGGGTAGAGTAATCTAGGTTATCAACTTAATCAATCCCGACTCACGCTCTGGTATGGGGCAAGCTACTGACATTTCGTTGATGCCCAAGGCACACAGGACATTGATACTCCGATCCTCTTGGGAAACTCAATCTGCTGGAGTACTCTTTTTTTTTGGCTGTGTCTTCACAGTTACCTAGCCTAATCATACTCGGGAGATCACACCTGCTTCATGGATTCACGGCCTGTCAGCTCCCCAGCGAGCACATTTTTCACTAGAATTGGCGGCTACCTAGCTTTCCGGAAATCCGGCACTCAACAACTGGACAGGAGACATCAAATTTAATGGATGCCTAGGTCAGAGTGCATCGTCGTCGTCAGCAACCTTCCTATCCGGATATAGCAGAGTGGAAACAGATCTGGTTGGGGATGAATTGAGGCAGCCTAGCACTGCCTCGGACGCTCGGTGCTCCGTTACTCCATATTATTACCAAGGCTAAGCTTTCAGGGTTCAGGCCGGTCGGTTCGGGCCCCATCCCTGCAGTGGGGTGCAAGGTACTAAGTAGTAGACTAGGAAGTTTATGAAACCTGGAATGTGGTTGCCTTCGGGTACAGTGTCTGCTGCAGCAGGCGGGCGGTGGCTTTTCCGAATGAGAGTGGAGAGGTGTGCAGTCTACGTCCGGATAAATCACGAACGCCCCTGGTTTTGAAGATGCTATTCATATATATCTCCATAGATGCTCATATGCACATATTTTGCAGAATGGACAACTAGACAAGGCCCGCATTTCATCGAAACCATTACTAAGACGCCCTGCCCTAATCCCTAGTGCCGTATGTACTACAACCCTCCAAAGCTTTACGGGCTGGACAGGGGACTGTGGACTGGAAAGAGCTGATTCTTAGTCTACTTTTTTTGGATGCCACTACTGCAGTGCGCCGTGAGTAACCCAAGCCGAGGCCTTGAGGCGGGCAGTGGATGCGATAGGTAGTACTTACTCTCTAGGGTTGCTATCAGCAGTCACGAACTGCAGCGCAGTGCCTCTGAATTGTCAAAAGTAGCCCTTTCTTCTGTTCAACCTATAGGAGGTACAACACAACCCATTCGAGCCCTGGTTGATCTTCCTCAGTGACTCTTACGAACTAGCCGGCTGACGGAGGTCAACGGCTACCGCAGTCCTGGGATCTGGATAACGAATGTACCTTCCTATCTAAGCAAGTCTCTCAACTCTGAATCGGCCGACTGTGTAGATACCTACTTAACTCGTATAGTGAAATATCACTACCTACTAGAGTTGAACTTGGAACCAGGCCTGCAAAGGAGTTACACTGCCCAGACGCAGGAATAAATGCTCTGGCTAATGGGATTACTCAAGATAAGACCGTCAATATATCAAACGTGCCTGTCTAGACCACTTTGGCGGAGTAATATCCACCGACAAGGCTACCCTGCCCTACCGTCCTTCCTCTAGTTCTAGTTTAGGTGGCCGAGTCAGACGAACTGGAACAGGACGGGATTCTTCCTTGCAGATTGCGGACCGGGATGGATACAATCCGAAGGACGTACTCGTATTCCGGTCAATACTCGTTGAAGCGGGCTGCCTATGCATGCAGGCTGGATAAAGTAAGGGATGCAGTGCGCTACTGCTGCAGGTGATATTGCCCCATCGCCCTATCGCCCTAAAAGTGGAAAGCTGACGGGTGCATCGTGCACCGTTCGAGGAAACCGAGCCGTCTAGGGCCGTACCCGCAGGTAAAGGTAGAATTTGGAGTCCAGTCTTAGTACCACTAGGGCTGAGACAGGGGCCAGTTGGGTTCGTCCGTCAGCACTATCGCCAGCGTCAGGATCAGAACCAGGATCAAATGCCTTAGTCTAGATTGCTCTCACGGGGCAAACAGAGACACGAAACGATAATCAGAGACTCTGAAAATCGCGATGTTCACTTTGCCCGCCTGAGACTAGTGCTTATCTGCCCTGCTGGCGGGACCGTTTCGGGCAACATTGAGCGAACGCTGACGGCGGCTTTACCCATGGACGGGGCTGCAGAGTACCTAGTACTATACAAGTGCTAGTGCTGATGAATGCGTATGCGCGCACTGCCGTCGCGCGACGTAGATGTGGATGTGTATGACGTGAGGATGCGAGGAAGGTTCTTGTGGTCTCATCTCGGTCTCGAATTGTCAGAGCCAGAGGGGTATTAGTGCTGACTGCTGACGCGACGTCTTGACCTGGTCTGACAAGACTCGATGATATTGACCAGCCCGCTCCCTTGCCGTAGCCCCTCGCGAAGGATCAAGGCTCCGAATCAATCTCCAATCCAGACAGGGTTCGAGTTTCTGCCCTACTGACTGGCTCCCCGAGTTTAGCTGCTTTGGACGCCTTATAAGGCCAAGTCAGTAGAGCGTGAGACAGCCCGTTAGCTTGCGCTGACGCTGACGGCAGTGAGCAAGTAGCCGGAGTCTAAGCCACCTGAGCGGGGATACGATGTCTGTGAGCGTCGAGCGAACGTCGCCTAGCCCGCGCAAAGACCCTCGTGTGCCTATCATACCACACCGCACCACTCATATTGATCATGTCGTACCCATCCATGCTGATTACGGATGTAGGTAGGACTTTCCGGAAAGCGACATGTTACACAGACCAGACAGATTCCTGTTTCCTGTGCAATCATAAAACAAAACAAGCCCTAATCCAAGGATGGCCTGCACGGAATTCCGTCCGTCCAGTATCCATCCACACCTGAGCACCCACTCGGACCATAACTAGGTTGCGCGGAAACGCCTGGCGTCGTCATGCACGCCACGCCACGTCTACCTTCCGCTTCGTGCAGATGTAGTGTTCGATGGGTGCAATCACAGACCCCCCGACGGGACGGACGGGAAGAACGAGGGGTCTTGAAGCCGTTGGCGGTTGCGCTTGGCAGCTTCCATGTTACGCATTCGGTCGATGCGCATTTGATAAAAGTTTCTAAGCGATGAGTGTCAGTAAGTCATTTCTCCAACCCACTAGCACTGCCATACTACGGTCGACCGGATGGGAGATCCATACTTGTGCAGGGCGAAAATCCGAGGCGAGTCATCCGACGCAGATGTGCTTTGTTTTGTGATAGCATTAATCTGCCAGTGTCAATAAACCGGCCCAGGCAAAAGATACTGGGGAAAAAACGAACTTTATCATCCCGCTCCTTCTGATCCTTTCCGTCGTCTGCTTTCTTGCTCGAATCATCCTTGTCGTTGTCTTTGTCGTCCTTGTCCTTGTCCTTCTTTTCTTTCTCTTTCTCCTTCTTGCGCTGCTGCTTCTCCTCATATTCTTTCTTTACCTTTTCAATCTCATTCGCCATAAGCTCGGCTTTCCTCTTCGCCTCCTCTTCCGCAGCATCTACAATAGGTGAGCAGAAATGCCGGTCTTTGAGATGCACCGGGCAGACGTAGAAGTAGTCCTGCACGTTATGTTAGATCCATGCCTCTTTTGAGCATAAAACTGGAAATAGCGGAATTAGTAAGAGTTGCATCTTTATAACCTACCTTGTTGTTCGGCGTGATCAGAACACTGCTCGATGGTTTGTGGCAGACCAGGCAGGCTTTCGCGGCCGTATCTGCCACGCGGCGGAGGTGCCAGATATTCGGGAGGGCTGCCATTATAACTTATATCTTCCACCGGTAGTTGAATATGAGGCCAAGTCTAAAGTATTCTCTATAACACAGACAGGAAACGGGATCTTTGGAGCTGTTAGGAAAGATGGTGGAGTTAGCGCGGAGAAACATACGGTATCCAAGTCATGTGATTCACGACTATAGGTATAGATTGAATTATCAAGTAAATACTCCTCTAAATTGCTCAAAATTCTTATAGTACACATATCCTACTCAGTTACACTATCCAAGCCTCTCAATGCGCTTCGTTCCTTGATCGGCGTTACCTCATCCGTGTTCCTCGCGCGCCGTCTAGCATCCGTCCAAACCATATACTCGCCGTAGCTCTTCGGCATAACATGCAAATCCCCTTCAACCAAGAATGTGTAGTTGAACATACCAGTTGACTTCTTTGTTCCGTGCTCCACGTCTCGCACTTTAGTGTCCACTCGCACCTGAATCTTGGTGTACTTGCTCTTGCTCCCTGATTCGCGCTCAAGAGGCTCGGTATATGCAACGGTGGCGCGGAGGTAGAGCACGCTCCCCACGGGAACGGGATTTTCAAAGGTACTGGGATCTAGGGAGATGAAGTTGGGACGGGCATGAGAGAATGATGCCGCGCAGCAGAAGGCGAGCTCGAAGGTTTGCTTGAGGAGGAAGCCACCAAAGATCATGAAGTTGTGGCGGTTGCGGTCTTGAGGCTGCATGATCATAGCAGATTTGAGGACGGCGTCACTCATGTCGATCGTGTTGGCGGGGCGTTTCTCAGGGAATTCTATACCGCTTAGTCCTTGATGACCGGCAGCATCTGATCTGACTAGACTTACTCAAGTATGACATCTCTTTTGTCCATAAGGAGTGGATGAGGTTACTCTCCTCATCATCGGGGGCTTTCTCGAGCAGACTCCTTTTCCTTAATGCCTTCTTGGCCTGATAGTTCTTCTCTCCTTTCTTGAACAGTTCGCGCTCTTCGTCGGTTTCTATCAACAGAGGCGCAACATTGACCGGTCTAACGTATTTGGTAAGCACATTTTACCTGCAGAAAGATGTTGATACTTACGATTTGGTCGCAGGGTCAAGCGAGACCATAGTAAATGCGCACGTAATGAGAACATCTTCCGGATTTGTCTTTTCCCCAGGCGCCGGGACCTTCGCAACCTGAAGCGAAACCTCCATACTCGATCTTCCAGTGGCGTACGTAACCTGGCCGCTCAACTCGAGGTCACAGATCTCCATCAACGGATGCTCAATGGTAATTCTGTCCACGGCCGCGGTCACAGTCGTCACAGAATCACCGGTGTGTCTGTAGGCAATAACACCAGCAAGCGCATCAAGGTCCATCAGCAATGAACCCAGTCTTCCATTATGTTAGCGCCAATTTCAAGACGAAAAATGGAATTAGGTCGCGAACCTAATATGCCCCGAAGCATTCAGATATGTATCTAGGAGCCATTTATCCTGAGCCAGGGGCAGAACCTGCCATGCAAGTTAGCCCCATGCTCCTAATCCAATAGCGAAAAGTACTAACAGCGCTATAATAACTTTCCGACATCTTTTTCGGCGTCAGATCCGGCTTCGCGCGAGGAGCTTCCTCCTGACCCGGCTGCGATTGCTCCCGGCTCTTATTGAGGGCCTCAATCCATGGCGTTTTCACGCGCATAGGCATCCAAGTCGGGCGGAACGCCGATTGGGAGGGCGTAAAATGAAACTCCCGGCATGATTGAGGTTGTGACACTTGCAGGCTCTTTGCGCGCGGTCGAAGTGTGGTTGAGCCGGTCGTCGCTAAACAGAGACGATTGGATCGTCTGGGGATGGAGCGGCGTGTGCTTAGGCTAAACATGATAATGCTCTGCTATCAATTGAAGCCTGGCGCTGCGCTATATGCTGAGCTTGTAAAGATAGCTATGGGTATGTCGTTAGTAATGAGGTTGGAATGGTTGTCATTGGCAAAGAAGAAGTGAGGTGACTGTTCGGCTTCAGTGACTCCCGCTTCAGCTCCCGAGTCGGCTTCTTGCACCCGGAACAAGTCGGGCCCGACTAAGATCTATCCCGTCAGTCTCAGTCTGAGTCCTACTGTCTATCTACCTCGTCGACTACCTATGAATCATGTTGAGATTCGGTTTCGAGCCAGTGTTCAGGGTCCAGAGCTCTACTCCGACGGGTAGTCCAGCGCGTTCGTCGATGTGCAGGATGACGTCATGGCAATATATACTTCTAAACGACCACCACGTTTGGGAACCTCCAAAGCATTCTTTACTCCGTACAATAATTCTCGGGCGAGAGACAATGCTAAGCTCTAAGCTAAGCATAAGCTTAATACCCGCGCCCTACCAATTACCGAATCAGGGCCAGTTCCACCACTGGTCGGCGTCGATCCAGAAGGGGATGCGTCAAAATGAAGTCATCCAGCAGTCTCCAGCAGTCGGCCGAAAATCTCATTCAGAGAGGGAACCACTAGTATCTGATAGCATGATCCAAACGACCCAGGTTTTCGACTCTCCGGAACACTTCTATTGAAGATAAAGCAGGACTCGGCCGACAATATTACTCACTTGAGCTGGTATCTCAACCTATATAAGGAGACGACAGACATTGAGACCACTACTATTCGACCTATACTATCAAGGCACAAGAGAGGAACCACAATGTCCGACCCTACCAACCCCAACATTGAACAACGCACAACGCCCCAATGGGCTCTCTACCAGCGCGAGAACTTTTGGAAGCTTAACGAGGGCAAGACTGCCCCGTTTAACACCGGTACGCTCTTCACTCTTTACAACCCCATTCTCCCAAGCTCCAACGCTGACCCCTTACGCTGCTAGACCCCACCAAGCTCGAAGAACTCGCGAAAGAAACCCTCAGCAAGGGCGGCTGGCTCTATGCCTCCTCCAACGCAGGCCTCTCAGCAACACACCTCGCAAACCGACAAGCCTTCTACCGGCACCGCATAATCCCCAACCAGCTCGTCGACACAAATCTCCGCGACACAACAACCACAATCTTCGGGCACAAGGTCTCCGCACCCATCGGCTTCGCACCCATAGGCATTAACAAAATCTACCACCCCTCCGCCGAACTCGCCGTCGCAAAGGTTGCCGGCGAGCTCAACCTCCCATACTGCCTCAGCACGGCAGGAAGCTCACCGATTGAGAAAGTCGGCGAGGCAAATGGCCAGGGCAATCCCAGATTCTACCAGCTGTACATGCCGCACGACGACGAACTCACAATCTCCCTCTTGAAGAGAGCCTGGAGCAGCGGGTTCGACGCCTGCATGTTAACGACGGATACGTGGCAGCTCGGCTGGCGGCACGGTGACATCGCCAACTCAAACTACGCCTTCTACCGCGGCATGGGTGCAGACCTAGGTCTTACAGACCCTGTCTTCCAGAAGCGCTGCCGCGAAGCAGGCATCGACCCCGAGAAAGACATTGTGGCTGCGTCAGCGAAATGGATCGACTCCGTCTGGCATGGGCGCGCCTGGTCGTGGGAGAAGATCCCCTGGCTTATCAAGACGTGGAAGGAGATCTCCGGCGGTCGACCATTCGTCATCAAGGGGATTCAGTCTGTTCCCGACGCAAAGAAGTGCGTTGAGTATGGCGTTGATGGGATCGTCGTGAGCAACCACGCTGGCCGGCAGGTTGATGGCGCGATTGCGTCTCTCGACGCGTTGGAGAATATCGTCAATGCCGTTGGGGACCAGTTGTATATCATGTATGATTCGGGCGTGCGGGGCGCGAGTGATGTTGGCAAAGCGCTGGCGGTGGGTGCTAAGTTTGTGTTTGTAGGGAGGCTTTGGATTTGGGGGTTGAGCATCATGGGCGAGGAAGGGGTTAGGCACGTCATGAAGAGCTTATTGGCGGACTTTGATATCCTTATGGCCGTGGGTGGTTTCAAGAATGTGCAAGAATTTGATCGGTCTTGTCTTGGTAAGCTCATTCCCGGCTTTGGGCATAGGGGAGATGCAGGCTAACATGTTGCAGAATCATATCCGAAATCATATACCTATATTCCGGATAGGGTATTGTGAGTGACGCTATAAGGACATGAGATTTGAACGAAGAGGTTGTACCCAATAAGCTAGTATGAACAACGCCGCGAGTCAACATGGGTCATTTGATTACAATGATATATGCAATGGAATTTTGCGATGGCTAGGGTATGTAGAACGAAGGTGTAAACCCGCATAGAATGCTAATAAATACAAGACAAGAATAGAAGGGCGGCCAACGGCCAAATATAACTAAAACCCCCGAGAATCGTTCCCGTGCCGGTGAATTCGGCTGAAGTCGAAGTAGGGTCTGTAGAAGTAGAAGTGGATGAATTGGCAGAGCCCGACTTGGAACTCTCGGTAGCGAATGTGTCTGTCGGCGAGGCAACTGTCGCCGTCGTGGTGGTCGTAGCAGGTGAAGCAGACCCAGGAAGTTGGGCAAAGCCAATACGGTCATTGTCGTAGTCAAAGACGCTGTAGACATTTTTGAGAAAAGTGTCGCCGAGAATCATAACGTCGTCGCCAAATACGGCCTGAGCGATGATAGTAGAGACGCAGCCATTGCCGGACTCTAGGCTCGCTCCAATATAATCCTTGGGAGACATGGTGTAGCTAACGCCGGAGAAGGTAAACTGCACCTTAGCTGTCGAGTCGCAGGGGACAAGGTAGTTCTCGTCCGACAATTGCTTCGAGCCTGGAATAAGTGCATGTATGGTCTTTGCATCATTGGGAGGGATGAGCGAGTACGATGTCCCAGTGTCGATGATGGCGGTCTTTCCAGTGAGACCGCAAGCTTTGCCATTGACGCTCGCATCGTCTAATGGAATGCTCCAGTGGATGCTTGATTCAGCAACCTTGGTGTACGAGATGTCCCCCTTGAACTTGGTCTTATCCACACCGCCAAAGGTAACAGTCCCATCCCTTTCTCCGTCCGAGTTGCGCGACATGTGGAAGCCAACAATGTTGGATTTGAGATCCCCTTCCTGAGCGACAAGGTCCATGAATGCTCGCCTGCCGCCCATGGAGGTATCGTTGGACCGGCCCATGCCCAGAATCCCGTCAATAGGATAATCTCTAAAGTCGTCCGTCGCGTTGGTTGCTAGGCCAAAGGTCATCTGCACGTTGATATCGGCGATCTTGAGGCGGTCTGTGACGAGATTTCCGCTGACTTTGCCCGACCCATATCCCACCTCGAATGTATCCGCCGTCGTCTTAACAGTCGATGAAGAATTGTCGCCAAACGTATTGTGCATTTGACAGGGTTCAGACGTGCAGTCTGCCCCGAACACCCAGGTATTCGCACCTCCCGTATCCAACATCATCCATACCGGCTGCCCGGGTGTCCCAACATTCACCGTTGAGAAGTACGAGTAATCGAGGCCGTCTTGGTGCAGGGCGACTGTGTTTGGCGACGTGGGTTTATCGGCTAGGACGACTTTGTAGATGTTATCACGGCGGACATGGGTCTTGATATCCAAACTCAAAAGGCTGTCGTCCGAACTCGAGTCCTCCGCTTCGTCATGTTGTGTTTCGTCCGCTATATTCCCCGATAGTTTCTTCACCGGCACAAACCGGCGTTCTGGACTGTCGCTAGAATCGGTCTTCAAGCCGATCTTAAAGCTGTATGGAATAAAGGCGTTGGCGCCGGTGTAGAAGAACGCTGCATAGAGAAGATATTGTGAGAGACGCATGATCCGGCACGGATCTAGTAAAGGCACAGGTGGACAGTAGGAATCATTGAGAGCTCAAACTGGATCAGGCGAGTCCATTCACTTAAATCCAAACAGTGAGAATAGGCGAGCAAGGAGGATTAGAATTAGGGTAGCGAAGGAACGAACTATGCAGCAGTTCAATAGAAATAGCACTTAAGGAGAGACAGAGCGAGGGTAGAACAAAACGGAAAAAGCTGAAATTAATGTTGTACAAAAGACACAGATGCAAGCGACTAGATTATACTGTAAAGAAAATAACTGCAAATAATATCAACAACGAGAGGAACGGAATGAAGGGAGAAGAGGGAGGAGGTTGAAGATGTCCAAGTCCAACTCCATGGGGAGCTGCAGAGTTGCACAGAGAACCTTTGGCAACGCTCGGTGATACCACACCTCTGCCAAGGTCAGGTCTAGCCTCTGCAGGAATTCATCCTGACTGGCTGCTCACAGACTCTAGCTCGCGAACGGAGTCCGGGATCTTCGGTATATCGGTCCCTTTTCAGCACGGGTGGGGTTAGGACGAACCCCTGAGTGTCCTAATCAGTTATCACAGGCAGTTTGCCGTTTGGGAGCACGTCAACGATGATTTGGTTTCTCGATATATATTAATAGTCCAGATATTTTCGATGTAGTAGGCCGATCGAATGCAAGGAGCTGGGCTGATATGGATGCAAAGACCACCTGTTTGTCTGGATGTTTCACGTTAACAGCGAAGTTCACGCCCCACAGCCTTTGCCACTGTATCCCGAATTCCAGACTCTCCAGCAGAAGCACGGATGATCGCTATTTGTGCCAAGTCCTATGCTTATTCTGAGCAAATTGCCGATTCGCTGGCGATTGTGCCTGACGCTCCTCTACTCCTGAGCGTAGACTAGTTCATGCTTGTACAAATTGTTTTCGCCATAACTGCTAGCCCTCCTAAAGCTCGTGGCTCCTGAGCATGCTCTAACCATGGCCAGACCTCGACCACGGTCTCCCTCGAACCAAGGATCCCCGAAAGGTCAAGCAGACGAGAAAGGCCGTCGTCGTTTAAAGCTGGGGCTGTCTAGAGGCCAATGTTAATGCGACTACTGGTCAGGTATGTTCACAAGGCATTCAGAGTACTGCGATACGATCCCCATGCCCAAACACTCCCACTCCAGATACCACGATAGGGATATTGTACAATTCACGCACAACACAAGGAACAAACATAGGAGCGGGGCAGTATTTATACGCTCTGCTTGCCGGCTAACCAACGGAATCTTTTTAGGAGCACTGAAGCCGTGCTGTGGATGTCCTACGCCGGGACATGCCGGAGTATATCTACCGAAAACAGTGATATCATCGACTAAAGTCCCTGGAAATACCTAGGTTCTAGGTAGGACCAGAGTAGTCCGAACACAATAGTAGATTAGATTATCAATCTGACCATTTTCTAGAAGCCGACGCCCAACCTAGGTCTCGGAGGCTCGGTCAGAAGGAGCGCAGGGCCGTTAAAGCTGTGTGGGGTTTGAGTGCGGAAGCCAGCGCGGAAATCCGGAGTAGGAAGCTACCGTACGGCGTATACCCCTGGAGTCTGCAAGTGCAAGTGCATCAGGGTCCTGGCTTGGTACAGTTTGTGGCGGTACGAGGCAAGGGCCCTGGTCGAGGTACTCCGTAGTTGGTAACTTGGTATGTAAGGGATGGTCTCATGGTAATTCCAAGCATTTGGCTACGTCATGTACAACTGTGGGCTAAGTAGTTCTCCGAAATTCAGATTCTGAATCCAAGATCAATGACAATCAGGTACATCGGAACAAAGTGAGACAGCCGAGGCAAGTATATGTAGGTACGCAGCTTTCGGAAATACTCGACAAATTTGAACAAGATAGTTGGATAGTCGATAGAGACTTCGTGAAAATTAACCACATTCAAGGGAACATTCGTACAGCGCTAAATAAGGCAAACAATAGTAGGCAATCACTTCCGCAGGGGACTCTGCTGCTTAGGACCTAAGAGATCATCCAGAAGCCCGTTCCAAAGTTCCGAGGCAACGGATTTGGTTTCACTCTGTTGCTGTTGGCTCTTGAGTTCGGCAGCATATCTCGATTTCCCGACGGCTTCGGTTAACGAGAACGGGTCGATCTCAACGGAATCATTGTCGACAACCTCGGACATTGGGCTTGCGGAGACGTTGACCCCGTCACCGGAGACAGTGTAAACCTGGGGCTTCATCGGGGATTCCGAGGACCCAGATGACTCTAAGTGGGTGTGCATCTCGGGAAGGATCGGAACGGGCATCTCCCGCGAGGCATTGTTGGTCTCCGCGATTGAGGGCATGTAGGCAAAGTCGACGGTAGACGAGTCATTGACGGCTTTGAGGGAGCGGGAGGTGTTGAACGTGCGGCTGGGAGCACTATAGGAGTCGTGTTAGCCTGAGTTTCTATACAGCGAGCAAGACGCAAGGGGATTGTTACGTACTCTGGCTTGGAGCTGCTGTTAATCCTCCTCATGGCAATGCTGAATGCACGGGACTGCAGGAAATCATGGTTGGAAAGACGTTCCACGAGCTGCGTAATCAGGTTGTTAGTTGTTGGTATTGTAGCCTATGGCGTGCAAGATGCATACCTCTGCATGAGTACCAGTGGCCCTCAAAGAGCGCTTTTGGCACTCGCTCTTGAGGTCGGCCAGGTTGCGAGTCGAGTACAAGGTCGATTTATCTGAGACATTGGCAGGCTGAGCAGAGTGGGCGCCAGTGATGTGTAGACCTCGACGGTAGGCAGGAGAGAAGGTATGCTGCTGGGAGAGCAGACGAAGAGCGCGAAGCGAGGTTGAACGAGGAGCAGCCATTGTGAGATGCACTAAGTTTACTAGGCAGTATTTTAAATGCGGTTGCGACGAGCTTAAAGCTGTGAGGAAGCGAAGGTAGGGATGGGAATGTAGTATAGGTCGTAGTGCAACGCCAAGCGTAGAATGTATGACCAGGTAGCAAGTACTGGAAGGTAGGTTGAAGATGGAAGAAGCTGAGAGACGAGAAGATGTGGACAGGATGAGGGAGAAGAAGTCAGACCTCAGCCGGGGAACAGGCCGTACTTGAATGTGCCGGGTAGGACAGACAGACACAGTCCCAGTCGAGCTCCGGAGAAGTGGAACGGTTGGGGGATGTTGAGCTCTCCACTCTGCAGCGGGCGAGTGGGCTCTCCTGGAGTCGGTCTGGGCCAAGTCGCCCGGATGTTTAATAGTAGCGCCCCTAGAGATCGATCTTCAGTCTTCACAGTATCTACTCCGTATTTTGGTCAGGCGACAACTTCTGGCACATCTTCATCTTTTCTCGCTGGATTTATTGAAACGTCGCATTTGCCATTATTGGACAAAGCATCCATGGATGGATCGGAGACCCAAGGAGGGGTAAACGAGGTTGAGGAATCCGACCCATGATCATCCCCCTCAGATGCATACGGTCAAGTCGTAGACTATGAGACCACTCTTTTCTCATCGCCATCCTCCTTCGGAGTTACAGGGATGGTTATCTCCCGGTGTATGTACGGAGTACTGTCTGCGTGGGCCAATGGCAGCAAATCAGGCAATGTATACAGAACGGCTTCGTGTTCCCTGAGACGGGATGACGGTGGATTTGGCACCATGCATCTTACTCTTGACTCTCCTCAACTGTTTCATCAGCTCCAGTAGTAGCCGCGCTATTCCGTGAGGCGTGCCCGTAGCCCAGAGTAATCACGGTCATAGCCACAGACCAACGTAGATCACTCCGTCCGAGAAGCAAACGGAGCTTCCATCATCCATCTCAGCCTAGGAATCGATATCATCGCTGTCGCTTCATTTTCAGGAGCAGTATCCATCTTTCATCTCTAGTATTACGTGTTGACCGCGTCGCAGCAGGCTGAGGGATAAAGCTCTGTTCGCGTGCTGCAGAAACCCAGTCATGACGTGGAAGATCAGATTATCACTAGGCTCCATGCAGCGCTGAGGCCTTGACCATGAGTCCATGACATGATGTCTTGATTTTGGAGTATGATGCCCGCATGCTGCAGGATACGCACGGTCGAAGTACGAATCATGTCTGTCGTTCTAGGCACACTCTTCAAACTCCATCCAGGATCAAGAATACAATGCAGCGTCTCGCATCGCGCAATGCAATCTACGGTGAAGTGAGACAACGAATGAGAGTTGGGATGATCAAAAGGCTGATCTTAGTCCGCTGCTTTATGATTACAGCTACTGTGTAGATGTAAGAATAGGCGCTGTATTTCTGGGGCCGGTCACCGTTCGCTGGCCAGTTGAGTGGTTTACTGTCAAACCAAATTATGACTTTGGCTATTAAGCGTTCGCTTTTTAGTCCAACAGTTATGAGCCCTAAAATTCCTCACCAAAACTAGCAGTGAACGAACAAGTCTACGGTTCGATTCCAGT